AGGAAAATAAACATTAGTTGGAGTGCTTACATTAAGGACTTAACACAAATAATGCTTTCAACAATATTTGACAGTGCTTTGATAATGTATAACACCTGCCTGGCAACCCCAGGGTAGGGTAGTCCTCCTGTCTCAGACCAACTGTCCCTCCCTGGCCTTCTGAACCCTCCCTTCCACTGGGGCTCCTGGCTTGCTTTTTTACTCCTGTCTTCCAGCTACTCTCTGACTATCTTCTGTACATTAGGGCTTGGCTCTATCTAAGATAAGCCATAATTCTTGGAAAGGCAGGGCAGGAGCCCAGGCCATGTAGGGTCTGTGTGCTAGGTCCTTCAGTAGGGCCAGCCTGGCTGTGGGAAGATGGGGACTGGTAGTTTCCATGATTTCTGCTGTAATAGACCAAGCCTGCAGGCAGTAGAAAAGAGAAGGGAGTTGAGGAAGGACAGAGCTGAGATCCCTGATTGCTCATTAGTAGGCCACTGTGGACTTCATTCTGATGGTCAGTGTGATCTGGCTTTCACTGACTCATCGCAACATTAGTATCTGTTAAATGTAGTCATTCCACCTGTGATAGCTCAAGTCCTGCCTGGAGTACTAGGGCAGATAACCTTGGGGCTCAGTGATCTGAAACCAGGAGTTTGGGTTTCACACTGGCCTCCCTGCTTCTGGAGGGAGCCAAGTGCTGCTTTTCTCTTTCTTCCTGACCAGTGTGGATTGTCTAAGGACATGTTCAGGGGATCGTACCCTAGCCAGAGGGCTGTTACTTGAAGCCCTATATATCTTTATATCCTTCAGCCAGTTGGTGATTCTGAGGTTGGCCTTTTAGACAGTGGGCATTTGGGCTTTGAGTTTAACCTTGCAGTGGGATAGAACAGATTGTCAAAGTGATTTGATCATTTTCTGTTGTATTTGGGCATATAGAAACATAAAGTCATAAGGTTTGCCAGAAAGCCCTGAGCTTATTTGTTTCAGTCATTTAGGTGACTTATCTAGTGAATTCCACTTGTTAATTTCTGTGTGGAGACTAGGCCCCAACTCCCCCAACCTTGTCTGCTTAATGTCATGATGCCTTTAAGATGAAGTTGAAGATGCAGCAAGGTGAACGGTCACATGGATGATCTGGGGGGACACCTCCATCTTCCTGCTGCTCAGCTGTGTTCTTTCTGTTGTCGGGTCCCCCATAGAAAATGTGTTATGGATCCAGTGGAACAAGATTTCCAGAGATCACTTGATGTGGAAATGCCTTGTGAGGGAGTTTTCCCCATTGCACACCAGGTGTTTAGAATCTGCACTTTACTCATCGTATAATGGAGCACAGTGCAGAGACAGGCTGAGGTCCTCCTCTAACCAGCATCACAAAGCACCCTGGCTCTGGCCAGGCTCTGATGAGTATTCAAATATGCAATGCTGGTGACTGAAGTGGCCGCCTGGTTCCTTCAGCTAGCTCATCCACAAGAGCTGCGGCAGTGGTGTGGTTTCTCCTCAGCCACTAGTTCACACTTGTTACATTTGATCTAACCTGCTGTTATGTGATGTGCTTTCTCCTTAGCCTCAGTTCACACCTGCTGTTGTAGCAGTTTGGTTCCGCTCAGCCAGTGGGTTCACACTGGCCAGCTGGTTCACACTTGCTGTTTTTATCCCCTGGGCCAGTGAGTTCACAGTGGCAGTGATGGCCTCTGGTTCCCATCTGCTCCAGTGCGCATGGGGGTCTGGACTCCCCTAAAGGCAGATGGCATGGTCTAGCAACAACATGGGAGCACGAGGAAGTATTTCTTTTGAGGTCTGTGTTGCCTGTCTCTTCAGCTTGGAATAGCACATGTTGTTGGACTTTGTTATCTGGATATTTAACAGTTACACTTTTTTTTTTTTTTTTTTTTTTTTTTTTTTAAGAAAAAGTTCAGGGGCTGGAAAGATAGCTCAGTGGTTAAGAGCACTGACTGTTCTTGCAGAAGACCCGGGTTTGAATCCCAGCACCCACATGGCAGCTAACAACTGTCCATAACTCTAGTTCCAAGGGATCTGATGGCCTCTTCTGCCCTCCGCGGGTGCACTTACCTACATGCAGGCAATACATACATACACATTAAAAAATAATAATAAAAAAGTTCAAACTGATAGAAAAACTCCTGTGTCTGTCACGTGGGTTTACCAGTTGTTAATGTTTTGCCACATTCACTGTCTTTCCTTATAGATAATATACACACACCTATGTTGTAATTATTACTAATATTTTGTTGACCCGTTTGAGAGTGTTGAAGGCATTGTGGGCATTCCTAAGTACTCATGCCTGTATTTGAGAGCAAGCACATTGTCCTACCTAATCACAATACTGTCCACGATTCCAGATTCCAGGGCATTTAGTATTGATGTAACACAGCTGTCTAATACAGAAACCGTATTCAAATTTTGCCATCTGTCCCAATTACTTTAAGTTGTGAGTGGCTTTTTCTTCAGCTGTTGGTTGTCCAGCGAAGATGGAGGTAGATTCCTGAGGTCCTGCTTTGTACCGGCCTTTCTCTGCTTGCTTGTTGTAGATTTCTTCCTGCTGGTCCTCCATAGAGCACTTTCAGAGGAGCATTTGCGGCCTGCTGAGGGAGCCTGCTCTGAGTGCTGCATTTGTGTGTGACAGGCAGTGTAAATACAGAACCAAGGTGCACTCCAGATTTACTTCCCAATACAAACCTCTGCTCATCCTCAGAGACCTAAAAAGTATTGGGTGCACTCTTCTACTGCTTTACAGAACCTACCTGCGTGTATAAACAGCTTTAATAATACACCTTGACCCTTTGACTAGAGAACTATTCTCAATTAAAACTATGAATCAAGCCTCCGCCTTAGCACCAGGGGGCAGAGTCAGGCGTATAGGCACACTGGGGTGGGGAATTTTCTAACTCATGGCCCATAGTTGAATTTCAGTCATTTCACTGGAAATGGAACGATGCTTATAGCTGAGGTCAGTAATTAGCTTATCTGTTCACTTAGTTAAGCCCTTGCTTCAGCCTCTGCCCCCTTCCCAGGATTCATAAACATTTGCTATTTTTCCAACAGTAGTGAACTAGAAAGCTGTCAACTTCATCAAGATGAGCTTGCTAAATCCTGAGAGACTGGTTCCTGTTTTCCTGTTAGCAGAATAAAGTGTCTTTGTGTGGTATCCGGAATTTACATAAAACTGCTTCGGCCTTAGAGAGTTTATCAAACATTAATGGATTAGAGGAGCAGGATGTAGATGGGAGCTAATACCTGGTTATCACTTGGTAGGAACTGGCTTAAATTGCCTGTCCAGGCAATGCTGCCAAGGTGACTCCATTAGGACACGGATTATGAAGAGATTACGGCCTGTTTAAAAAAAAATCTTCAGCCTCTCTCTGACCTCATTAGCAATTAGCAGGAAAATGTGAAGACAGGGATTCCTTTCTTGCACTTGGTTCTCTAATACATCACCAGAGGTTGGAGCACAATTGGGCATTCCGTTCCTGCCACCCACCATCAGCGGCCCATGAGGCCTGGCAAACTGCCAGCATCTTTACTGTCATAGTGCTTCTTAGACACCTTGTTTGCTTCACTGGGACGACCAAGCTTCTTAAATTGCTGCTTCTAGATTGCGTCCTGACAATTATTTTTCAAACTTCACCTCTTCCCCTTTTCACAATATCAGAGACATCTTAGGTATGGAAGTCTATCTATTCTTGTTCCTGGTGAGACTGATGATAGGCTGGTGTATTGCTTACTGGCAATTCTTAAAAGCATGTTTGAGACATCCATACTTTGAGAAGTCCATGTTGACAGCTTGCTAGGGCTGAGACCTGCAGTGTCATGTTGTAGGGATAGAGAACACCCGTGTTGGTTCGGGAAGCCGAAGATACTGTCCACCCCAGTTGGAAGAAGCGTGTTGGCATAGCTGCATCTTTGTGTCTTGGTGCCATTTACCTGCTAGTTTCAGCGGTGCTGTGAAACTGCCAGGCTCATAGAATTGGATATCAAGATTCCCTAGCCCCCATTGATGAAGCAAACGTTAGCATCAGATAAGTCATTTAGGATTGGCTGTCTGTCAGGACGCTAGAGAAGCAAATTCAGTAGAAACCAGAGTTGGCAGAACCTGCTTCTTGTACCTTTATGCCTGTGTAACTTTATGAGAATCCAGAGGGCAAGATAAAATGGTCTGATATTAAATGTTAAGAGCTGAAAGTGGCTTTAAAGCAACAACTGCTGGTATATTAAAACAAAGGTCTGATTATAGCATTTAATTACCTCAGTTTAGTCCTAAACATCATTTGACTCCAGGTCCTTCTGCTAAAAAGCTGCCATTTGTAAGGCACTTAAAAAAATAATTCTCTCTTGTCACAGGCCTCAGGTTTCTTCCAAACTACTTAGAAAGATGTGTCAGAGCACTGGAAGCCCATAGTCATAAAATGCTCCATTTCTCTTGGCCCTTGCCTGGTGGACATCTCCTAACGCCAGCTTAGCTGCTGTAGCAACAACGTGCTTGCTAATTGGCACAGCACCTGCAATCAATTAAGGAAGCTTCAATTATCCAAACCAAAGCCACCCACCCAAAGATTAATTTTCTGCTCTATTTCCTATCAAAAACATAGCATATTTAGCTGGGAGTCCAGTCCTTCAGAGTATTTTAGACATAAAGAACACCGTTTCCTTGATAATTGTGCTTGTTCCTTTTTGGCAGCCTTCCGTTCGAAATACCACTCCCACCAGTTCTTCAAAATTGTTCTTTTTCTGTTGTGTTGTTGCCTGTCCAAAATGCTGAGACCACAGGAAAAAGACACTAGTTGGAAGCTTTTCATTTGAAGTGTGGCCTTCTTTATTTTATTGAAAACACTCAGTCTTTTTACATTATAGGATCTAGTTTCCACAACCTAAAAGCTTTAAGTTAATGCACCTCTAATCACATTCATAAGTACGGTTTCTGTTTGGCCCATGTAAATAGAAAGATTTTTGCCCTCACCCCATTTCTAAAGAGTAATCGATTATTTTATTGTGTTTCTCAGAGAAGGAGCAAGCTGTAAATCGGGCTGGTATTGTTCAGGAAGATGTGCAGCCACCAGGTAAAAAAGTCAGCAGTCTCTTCTGTACCCTGTGGTGTGTGGTTCATGTTCCTGCTTTGCTGTGGAGCAGGCTGGTTTTTCTCTTGGAAACTTGATCTTGCTAGTTATTTTAAATAGTTGCCACTTTGTAGGGGCCAGCCAAGACTTCATTCTCATACTTGACTGCCTAGGATTTTTTGGAAGATTTCTGGGCCCCTCTTTGGTACTTGGCAAGTGGGCATAAAATGTAACAAGTGTGTAATTAAGTATGAAGAGATTAGCAACTTTGCAGACTCCCTTACCAAGCACCTCTGTAAACACTCCCCTCACAGGAAGGTAGTATTTACCTGTGAGCTGTTCGTTGATGTGGGATTCACTTCCTATAGAAGCCCCCAACGCTTCTGTTAGGGCTGAATGGGCTGTTCCTTTAAGTCTATTCAATTTGACTGAGAATGAGGCTTTCCTGCTTACTAACCCATACTCCTGCAGTCTGTGGAGACATTGTTTTATGTAGTTATGTATGTATTTATTTATAAAGCCAGGCTCATTTTTTCCTGGTATGGGACAGCTTCTGAGCCCTTTAAAAGTCCCTTCTGGCTGTTGTGACAGCCAGGCACCCTGTTGGAGAAGTTCCAGCAGCCACCCTCTCTGTCTCAGCCAGATAGATATCCTACCGCTCGATCCCCACGTTGTCTTACTTATTTGGGATCCAGGGGATATTTTACACTAAATCCTGGTGTTTTGTGTGTTTCTTTCCATAGGGTTGAAAGTGTGGTCTGATCCATTTGGCAGGAAATAAGGCTGTTAGCAAGTCTGATTATGAACGTGGACATCTTCATCCTTTGGTCTCTGCAGTGGGGACAATGGATGACTGAATGTGGAAGCCTGGCTGGAGAGGGAACGCTTGTGATAAAGACTGCATAAGAACTGTGCTTCCCTTCTGAAGTCTCCAGAGAGTCCTGCACAGATGACACATTAGGAAGTGCCTCATGACTCAGTTGACTTGGCAGGAGCAGAGCTGGCTTTCAGGGCTGTTTGCGGGAGATCTGCTTCGTATTCAGCCTTTATCACTTCCGAGCTGTGACATGAATACAAGCACCCCCCGGGCTCAAGAAGGTCCACAGCTGCTTTGCCACCTTCTAAATAAGTGATTTTAGTGGCAACTGCCATGCCGAGCTGCCTCCCAGGGCACTTTGAGAATGTTCCAGATGATAAAGCTCTTTGAGGATTTGGTCCTCAGTGCTGTTTAAGAATGCACAACTCAACTTAGCCATCTTGTCAAAAATCACTCTGTGTTGGGAAGTAAATAAATACCAAGCAAGTCAAACTAGACCTTGTATCCATGCACAGTAGAACCAGGTGAGCCCACAACAACAGGGCTGTGGGTATTAAAATGATTTCGTGTTGCTTCATCGTCATGTACTGGTTTTATAGATTTTTTTTTAGGGTAAACTAAATTCTAGTATCAAGAAATACTATTTGGGCTGGAGAGATGGCTCAGTGATGAAGAGCATAGGCTGCTCTTGCAGAGAACCTGGGTTTGGTTCCTGGCACCCAGACAGCAGCTCACAAACCTCTGTGAATCCAGATCCAGGAGATCCGGTGCCCTCTCCTGGCCTCTGTGGGCACTGCGTGCATGTGGTGCACACATACTTGCAGGCAGACACTCATGCATATAAAATTTAAAAAGTTTAATAAAGTACTATTTGACTAGATATAGTATCACCTGTTTGTATATAAAGACAAAGTTTAAAGGTAAATAGCACAGGTTTTGACAGATGTTTATGGACCGTTTTCTACTGGACACCTTCCTTGTAACTACAAGAGTGAGAGTGAGAACAGATTCCCTTTTTTTTTTTCCTTTAATTTTTCTTTTGTTTCCTTTCCTTCCCTTCCCATGTCTTTCTCTCTTCCTCCCTCCCACCCTTCTCACTTTATTTCCTTTCCTGTATTCTGCCTAGATGCTACCAAAGAGCCATCCTTTACATTCTCACTACAGTGCCTTTCGTGTTTCCATAGGCTCTCTTTAGATGAGGTGCATGGTGGCATACTTTTATTACTGTGCAGTTAGCATTTTCATGACAGACCTCTGGCCCAATTATGTAATTACTGTCAGCTAGAAATACAGTTGATAGTTCTAAAACCAAAGTCATCATTTTTGGTAGACATTCCCTAAGATTTAATTGACTTGCAGTTAACAGCCCAATAGAGGAAGCTTGCTAATTGGGGTGCATTTACCTGTCCTCCTTGGAGGGGGCACTGAGAAGGTGTGCAATTTAAAATCAGACTTTAAAGATGCTTAATTGAGTTTTCCTCATGACTCAGGGAAGTGCACCTGCTTTGGAGGACACGCAGGCTCAAGTGACTGAGTTCTTGACGGGCTGTGGCACAGACCCAGTGGGTCTCCCAAGTGGGGTCTCTGTCCTAGGCCTGTGTCTTCTGCCCTCAGTCCACCTCTGCAAAAATGAAAGGTCTAGGTATCCCCATGGCCTTGATGTTTGTAGCGGTGTATTAGCTGTCATAAAGCACCATGACCAAGGCAACCTACAGAAGGAAGCATTTATTTGATTTATGGATCCTGAGGGATAAGAGTCCATCATGATCGGGAGGCATGGCGGGAGGCATGGCAGGAGGCAGCCAGGGCAGACAGCTCTGAGCTCATATCTTCAAGCACACACAACAAGCAGAGAGAAAGAGAGTGTGCAAAACTGGAAATAGGCTGTGGCTATGACCTCAAAGTCCACCCCCAGTGATGTGCTTCCTCTAGCAAGTACATACCTCCTAAGCCTCTGCGAACAGCACCACCCGTTCAAATGTTGACAGCTGACAAATGTTCAAATGCTTCAGCCCACAGGGGACACCTCATCAAAACCACCACACAGGAGCACTCCACTCTGGGATGTGACTGCAGAGTGCTGCCTGTACCTGCCCAGGGAGTGGTGAGAGGTGTCTGCGTGTGAGCCTGTGCCCCGTATGTGACCCTGTGCTCCAGGGGAGGCTTGTAAGAGACAGCTTTGTTATACACGTTGGAAACAGTTGTGGTCAGCTTTTCTGATCCCCCAATGAGGGCTGTCATTTCCCAGCTATTTTGAAGCACAGCACTTGCCCCTGTTGACTTTCTGGGACTTGCGACTTTCCCTCTAGGAGAAAACCAGAGAGTTGGTGCTCAAATTTTTGTCTCAGGATGTGTTTACATTTTTAAATTTTTTCAGGGTTGGGGAGATGGCTCAGTGGATAAGAGCGCTTGCTCTGCAGGTGTGAGGAACCAAGTTCAGATCCCCAGCATCCATGTAAAAACCAGGTATGTCTGTGTGTGCCTGTAACCCCAGCACTGAGGGTGAAGACAGGCAGAGCTCAAGAGCATGCTGGGCTGCCAGCATAGCTGAGTCCGTGAGACATGCTGTCTCAATGCAGCAGGTGGAGAACGAGGGAGGGACCTGTTCTGGCCTCTGCATTCACACACACACAGCAGGTGCCCCAGCCCCACAACCATGGTATATTCACCATACACAGCACACCACACATACACATTTTCAAAAGCTCCAATTTGATTCTGTTTATACCTATTGAAACTACTATCTTACAATTTTTGAAAAATATTTATTATTTTTATTTTATGTGTATGAGTGTATTGCCTGCATGTATGTGAGTGCACCCATGTCGTGCAATGCCTTGGAGGTCAGAAGAAGGCTTCGGATTCCCCTGGAACTGGAGTTAAGGATGGTTTGTAGCCACCATGTGGGTGCTGGGAATCGAACCCAGGTCCTCTGCAAGAGCAGTCAGTGCTCTTAACCGCTGAGCCATCTCTCCAGCCCCATCTTATAATTTTAAGACAAAAATTTTAATATTACATAATTTAATATCAGTAACTAGCTCACGTAAGTTAATAGGATGTATTTTTATGTAAAAAGATTTATTTCTCCAGTCAAAGTAATTTGCAAAGCTCAGGTAGTTGGTTCAGTAAGTAAAAAGTGATTCCTGTACAAGCATGAGGACCTGAGTTCAAATCCCTAGCACCCATGTCAAGAGCTGGGCATGGCCACATGTGACTGACTAACCCTGGCACTGAGGGACAGAGACAAGAATCACTAGGGCTGAGGGCTGGAGAGGTGGTTCAGCAGTTAAGAGCACCGGCTGCCCTTGCAGAGGACCTGGGTTGGGTTCCCAGAACCCGCATGACAGTTGATATGCATCCTTAACTCCAGTTCCACATGGCAGCTGACACCTGTCCTTAACTCCAGATCCAGAGCATCTGATGCTGTCTTCTGGCCTCTGTGGGCTCTGCACTCACATGATGCACTTACAGACATGCAGGCAAAACAACCACATAAAATTAAAAAATTTTTAAATATTTTTATATTTTAACAGAACATAGGATAGTAGTTTATTTACAGAAGAGTGGGCGCCCCATATTTATAGCTGCACCGGAAAGTCCACACTCAAATACAGATCCTATGACCGCTTGACAGCAACAGCTGCACAAAATTGTGAGAGGTGCCTCTTAATGCTCTCAGCTTATATATCCTTTGCCCCTCCCCCCCACTTGCAGCTATGGTTGACTGATTGGGGGGGTGGGTAACTGACTCCTCCCTCAACTCCTTGATGAGAGTAGGAAAAAATTAAATTTTTAGAAATTGAAAATAATATTGTAGCCAGGCATGGTAGTGCACATGTTTAATCCCGGCACTCAGGAGGCAGAGGCAGGTGAATCTGTGAGATGGTGGCCAACCTGGTCTACATAGTGAGTTCTGGGCCAGCTGAGGTTACAAGGAGATCCTGCTTCAAAACAAAACCAAGCAAAAGAATCACTGGGGCAGGATTGGAGAGATGGCTCAGCAGTTAAGAGTACTGATTGCTCTTGCAGAGGACCTGGGTTCGGTTCCCAGCACCCACATGGTGACTGTCAATAGTCTGTAATCCAGTTCCAGAAAATCGACGTCCCCTCCTGACCTCTGTGTAAGTGCATGACATAAGTGCATTTACATACGTGCAGGCAAAGCCCTCATACACATAAAATTAAAAAATTAAAAAGAATCACTAGGGTTTGCTGACCACCAGCTTAGCTCCAGGTTCAGTGGGACCCTGTCTAAGGCGCATAAGGTAGAAGTGACAATGCAGGACATCTCATGGCCTCCTGTGGCCATACCTGAACACACACATATAGGAACATACACTACACACATCTACCATACACATGGCAAACATAAACACCACACACAACAAAAAATGTTTGCAAACCTCTTTAAACGTCCACGCTGACAGAAGAGCCCTGTGTTCTCATGCCTGTGTTGGATCCAGTGTAGTATCTCATGGCCTGTGGTCTCTAGAAAGTGTTGCCCACACTCGTGAGGGCATCAGAGTGGAAATGCAGTCCCCCTGAAAAGTTCCCAGTTCCTATTCCTTAGACCTTTTGCAGATGGTGTAGCTGGATCTCATTCATTCCCTCAATGGCTTAGTTGTCATGTAAGGAAATAGAAAGCAGGGAGACAGAAAAATGACATCCACAGAGCCAGCAGATTTTTCAGAGAATAAACCTGAGAGGGTACCCCAGCCCTCCAAGCCTGGGATCCAGAGGAGAGTATACCCTCCCTTACAGACACAGGGTTTTTATATTTTTCTCCCTTTGGGGAGAAGGAAAGGGTTTGGGGTAGAATTTGGGTCATTTCAGGAGCAGGAAGGGTTCCCCATTATGAGGAGGTACAGGTGGGGTTCCTATCATGCTGTACTCTGGTCCAGGGTGTGCCCTGTGCTAGGGAGGGAGTTGTATCAGTGGAGCCAGTCGGGGGGAGGGTTGAGAGAGACAGCCTTCCAGGAAAGCTTCCAGGGAGTGGTGACCATTCGAGAAGCATTCAGGACTGAAGATTTTTCCATGTTATGAATGTATTTAGTGTGTCCAGTGTTGGAGGAAGGCTGGAATGGGGGGAGAAATTGAAGACATTCTTATGTTATTGAAATAAAGCTTGGGACTTTCCTTTCAGACGCTCAATAGGACTTCCTTTGGGATGACTTGGGTCAATTGTCTTTAAATTCCATAACCAGAAAAGGTAGCACTGAAGAGCAGTTGGTGCTTTCACCCTGTGAACACTGAAATGTGTAGTATGATTTCCTTTTTGTATTGGCTATTAGGAAGCTCAGACACATTTGTAATCCAGCTCTTCAAAAAGTACCTGTGGCCTTGTGGGATGTGTTTGGATCTCTACAGTCACCCCATCTTTTCTGTCTCTATTTCCTTCCTTCCTTCCTTCCTTCCTTCCTTCCTTCCTTCCTTCCTTCCTTCCTTCCTCCCTCCTTCCTTCCCCCCTTCCCCCTCCCTCCCTCTTCATTCATTCATTCATTCATTCATTCATTCATTCATTCATTCTTCTCTTTCTCCAAAACCAAAATGTGATTAGGATATTAGTGTAAATCTTTGTCTCCC